AATTAATTACTATCATTGTCAACAATAACTTAATGGGGCTTGTCACGGTACCATTTTCTGTTCAATTGTCGAATGATATTGTTACTTCCGCTTGGAGCTTTGCAACAAATTAGGCTCCGACTACATGTTACCTCACATTTAAAGGCCCGTTGTGTTGCCTCTTAAATTTCAGATGGTAAAAACTATTACACATGACAAGCATTTACTCTGAGTAGTAAAATGGATTAGATTACTTCAATTATGACCATGGTCAGAATTTTTTCCGTTGGAAGAGTTTTATCTTTAAAAGAATTAGTTTGGTTAAAATTCTAAATGGACCGTGCTTTAAACACCGAGTGTAATATAGAGTGAGCCTATCAAAATAAATCTCGGCTTCTTGACAACTCACAACCGAACTAGTGATCTTATCAGAGTGTACAACATTATACGTGTTGCAAATTTGGTCAGATTTACAAGTTATGGCATTATGGTGCAAAAGCAAAACATCTCCATTCTCCACCTACAAAATTATTTGTACAATAAGTTTGATCTGATGTACAATAAATTTGTACCTGCCAAACAACTACCCCATTAATGTCTACAATCTCTTGTAAGGTTGGCTACCATATTTCAGCTTCATTCCTCCATGAGAAACTCCCTTCAATTAGTCTTTCTTACATTACCATCACTGAAGAACCGTTCAGTTTTCAGTTGCTTTACCTTTAGTAGGTGGAAGTGAGTGAGTCCAGGAACTAAATTATGATACTCCCTCCGTCCTATAATTATTGTCCAATTTGAGTTTTCATTTCTAGTTCGAATTGTGCTAAAAGTGAAATCTCAAACTGGATACTAATTTTGGGACAGAGAGAGTAGTATTTTTTGTCTGCATGAAATGAAGAACACCCACACCTCATGTCCAGAAAACATGATACGGGTTTGAATGCAGATCTTTCGGCCATCTTTATTATTTGTGTTCGTGAATTTTGTTATTCACGCCAAATATGATATAGATCCCATTAGCTTCCTACTATTCCTTGCTAAAGGTAACCAAAAGTTTACTAACATTACAAGATTAGAATTTTTTTTGTTTTTTGTTGCCCTCAAAAAAAAAAAAAAAAAAAAAAAAAACCATTCTAAGACTTCCCTGAACCACTTATCCGAATAGAAGAATTGAACTAGCTAGCTACATTTTTCATGATCTTAAAAGGACTAGTTATAACTGAAATTCAAGAGTACATAATCTCCTTCATTTCAGCAGCTTCTACAAATTTAAAGCAACAAAGTTGCTTCCAAATCGGACTATTAACCTTCTTCCTGACTTATTTTGCAGTTCCAAAACTTCTGATCCCCAAGTCACCGTAAGCAGCGGCGAGGACGCCCTCAAACCGGTAGCAAAAAGGGTTCGTTCCCATCACCAACGTACTTCATCGCTAGAAATCAACCCAGACATCAGAATCTGAATCTTCGCGGTCAAACTAATTGGAGCCCGCTTTTTTGGGATTATATATCAAGGACACGAGAATCGGCTTACTTCAATATTGTGTTTGCAATACTTAATTTTATATGATTCCCGTGTTGGCTTCAAGAAGTAAAAATTATGATTTCTACCATTATGTACCACATGCAGTACACATAATTAAACTAGTTTTTTCAATCTCTCTCTTTCTTTCTTTTTTTCCTTATTCATTGCATCTAATGTATTCCTTCTTTTTACACGAATAATCACATAGTATAATGAGAAATTGTCTTTTCAAAATTCATATGCAAATCACCTCCTGAAATGCAAATTCTCCTTCGTCCAAGGTGGCTCTTTACTCAAATCAATGTTGGGCTTATTCGGGTGTATGTTTTCTCCGCTTACAGAGGTCCATCCTTTGGTTTCTTGGTGACAATATTATTCCTGACTAAAGACCAGAATCTCAACAAGTAACTAATCATTGAATTACAGAAAGTACTCCATGGTGATAAATTTAGTCCAAGTTAGTTTGCGTTTGGCAATTTCACATGCATTTGTATGAAGGTGAAACTTGTGAGAATGTATGGAAATAATGTGAAGAGCTCTATTTCCTAAGCTTCATTTCTTGTCACTGCTTAAATGGAACCAGTCCTGACAGGACATATTTGTTGGAAAAATATATTGCCTCCAACGAGATAAATTTAACCTATTGGAATTCGAATTGATTCAAAGCATCGCATTAGTACACCAAGTGCAATAAAATAGATCAAAACAAAAAGAAAAGAAAAGCAAAAATATGTTTAGTCATCTGATTCACAATAAATATTCCTGTGGCCAACCAACCGCACTTATTAACATGCAAATCATTCTACGCTTCCTATCTCCTTCGGCTTCTAGTCTCCATAACACACTCTTTCCGTTTAGCATTACATCAGCTCTAGCATATAGGGTAAAGAAAAAAGTAAAAAGGAACCATTTCTCCACTGTTCTCAAATAAACATTGGTCTGTTTCAAAATAAAATTTCCAGCCCACAACCAACAAACTTTATTAATTATTATAGCCCTTTTGTTGGAGGGCTTTATATCTCCTATCGGCATCAATTCTTTGGAACACACACTTTGGATTTGTCATTTAGTAGACATTACCAACGCCCAAGAGCCTTCTTAGCAGCTTCTTCCTTCTATTCATTTCTTCTCCTTTTTCTGATAGGAATTAAGTGAAAAGCTTCATAATAAGTCAGAGGGAGAGATTGAGTCAAGCCACGAAGCAAATTCTAGTAGGGTTTTTCCCCTGCACGAAAAGAAGAATTCCCGCACCTCAAAGCTTGATACTGAGAACATTTTACAGGTTGGAATTTTTTATCTCTCTTTTATCTTCATTATTTTCCGTTTAGTACGTCTTCATGAATTTTTTCCCCCTTACACATCTTTCCTTTTTCAGTTGTGGACTAATAAGTAATAATACACATGAGATTCTCGCAAAATATGACATGGTTCTCGTAAGCTTCCTAGAATGCCTTGCTAAAGGTAACCAACCAAAATTCTACTTGTATAATACATTTTTTTAATTTTAAAAAAAACAAAATTGTTGTACTTCTAGCCGAGAAATATTAATCCGATCTCATTTGCTTTTGCTACTAATCTCCTTTCCTATCTAATTCCATTTCTTTTTCTTCCTTCCTTCTTCTTCAGATCTCCTTCCCCTCAGGGGCACAGAGTTCCTGGAAGTACAGTCGGCCATTGTTTTCTGAACCCGAGATGCTATCGTTAAGCAAAATGGGACTGCAGAGCGTCAGGTATTTAAGGTAATTGTCACTCGCAACAACCAGGAAGTTGGGAAAGTTCACTCGCGGCCATGGTTTCAAATGAGGTTTTAGTTTGGGTGGATGGAGGTGTTTTGGATAATTTGTAATCCTATTTGTTTTTGGATAATCTCTGCAATTTGGGTTCCTTTAGATTGCAACTCTTTTAAATTCAGCCAAGAAATATTAGAAAAACTAAAAAGACTCTCCCTCTCGTCTTTCAGGCGACTCTTCTTCTTCCTCTCCCTCCCAGTTTTTGCCTGCCGGGAAAAATGAAATCTGCTAGGAAGTTTGCTTCTCAGGGCTTCGCCTTGGCTAAGAGATGGGCTAAAAAGGGCATCAAGTATTCTCCGCTAATAGCTGCAGCATTTTGGGGCCGTGAGCAGTTAATGGATAAGAAGAAAGAAGCTGAGCGGAGGAGTATGAGGTTTGTGTCAACCATGGGAATACTAGTGCAACCAGGTCAGAGTTTGTCAAAGAAAAGTACAAAGAGTCCGTGCTTCTGCAATTTGCGATTGTTCGCCGGGAATTGATTGAGGCAGACAAAGCTGCAAGGAAAGAAGAAATTGCTGCACAAAAAGAACAGAGAAATCTACGTATGGAGGAGGAGCAACAGAAATGGACTTCAGAGATGCCTTATTCCTTTGCAAGGTGGATGGATGCTATTGGTGACTTCCCCTTCGACGTGTAGACGCGCATTTCCGAGAGGCAGAGTCTGGAGTATATTGATCAAACACTAATTTTCCTTCAAGTAAGATACCATTACATTACATTACTGTGTAGACATGTAGAGTTCACCACTATAGTAGGTGCAGTCTTCAGACAATTCACGCAGATGAATGAAATGTGAAGGTTAAAGTCTACTATAGCTTACTTGTTTTTTACAGAGATGTATCGATGAAATAGAAGTTCAAGAATGATTTGAATCTTTGACATTATTCAGTGAAATTTACATAAAAAAAGAAAAACTAATAAGTAATATTTCTGAACAATTTCATCTTTTTCAACAGAGAGTAACTATTGAAACCTTTTGTCATGATTTTCCTCTTATGGATTGATCATTCGGCCTTTTCTTTTCTAAGAACGCAACTTTAAGTACTATGCCAAAGTACACATAATTAAACTAAACTTTAGCCTAACTTTTTTGTGGGCTATCTTCTAGTTTCAAACTTCTTTTTTTGCAAGCCTGACCGTAGTATACATGGACGTCTGCCCAGTTTCTCTGTGGTATGCCATTGCTAATTTCATCAAAAGAAAGATAGATACATAGTAGTAGTATTAAATTATGATACATCTACATTGCCTTTTGTATCGGCACAAACATATTTTGAATGCTTAACACCGGTAGCCTCAGATTCTCAAGCTATCAAGCATCCTGATTCCTGGCTAATTTCCTTTTCGAAAAGGAACATAATTTAAAATTTCAAATGGCTGAATCAAATCCTATGTAGTCTTTATTTTCTGCTGATGGAACCTACTTACAGTGTTAGAAAATCATTGCCAATAATCCATACAAGGATCCTAATAAGGAATTTATGCTGTTGGCAAGGAGACAAAGTTGAGGAAACTACAGCAAACTTATTGAATCTAAAATTCAGACATTTGCACCTTAAGATTTCACTCCAACAATGAGACATCAACTATTCAACCATTAAGTTCCATTAATCAGGTTTCTCTTTGAATCAGAGATACCTGACAATTGAATTAGTAAATAATCAAGGGTTCAAGACCCGTAATAACCGAAGGAGAGAGTGATCATAGCAGTTAAAAGGGGGGAAAATTCATCATGCAATTGCCACAACTTGGGTTAATTCTGCAAGTATAAAAACTTTATTCTCATTGCTCAACTACAAAATGGACCTGATACATACAGCAGTAATTTTTTGCTTTCAAATCAACGAAAAAGGAACTGAAAAGAAGGACCTCTTTTAGCAATGATAGATCCATCTGCTACTCTCACTCATTTCAGATGGTGCTTTGGCCACGATGGACAATGCGTGTAGTCCATTTTGCAGTTCATCTAGCTACAAACCATAAATCAATCTATGCCAACATCTTCCGCATTCTTCAAATCCCGATCCACACGAGATGTTGAATTGTCATTCTTATTCTCATCTGAGCTTCTTTTCTCAGATGTTTCGTGGATTGCAACATTGCCGTCAATTGTTTCAGCTTCCATGTACAATTGCAAAGCTTTTTCCTTCATTAACTTCAACGTATTCAAGAATCCATCATTCCTGTAAGGTGTAACCTTATGGTTCAATCCAAGCATCGGAGCAAAAGCAGGCGAAACATTCACGATTTCCTCAGCTGGCCTTCCGGATAGGCCTAGAACAAGCAAAGCCACTAACCCTTTTGTGAATAGGGCGTCGGAGTCCGTCTCGAAGACCACATTTTTATCATCATCAAAGTAGGCTCTAACCCATATCTTCGAAACACAACCCTCAACTTTATTCTCATTGGTCTTGTACTGAATATCCAAAGGCTTCAAATTCCTCCCATAAAACAAAAGCTGCTCATACTTAGCTCTCTGTTCTTGAACTGATTGGAATAATTTCACGATTTCTTGAAGGTTTGGGGGCAGTTCTTCAATTGGTGGTTCCGGAGTGGCTGATTGCGGAGCTTGTGATAAACAAACTATCTGATCAGTGGGTATTCTTTGAGATGTTATTGACCTTAAAAAGATTCAATCACTTATTTGGTTTTATAAGTGAAAAATATGGATTCATTTGGGCGGCGCAATAACTGGTTGGATGATGCAGGTGAGAAGATGGGATTCTTGCGGAGGATAAGCAAAAAGAGTGGGTATTTGACATGAGTTTTTGAATTGGATTGAAAGGAAGAACAACAATTAGGTTTCTTCGCAGGTTTAATTGTTGATGAAGATTGAAGTGTGTAGAAATTGGGGGTTGTTGTTGAAGAAAAGACGAAAAAAAGAGGTCCGGAGGTGGTGGATTTTTGGACTTAAATACGTGCGGAGATTTTTATTTTGGTTTTTTTTTCCTTTCTCCAAGTGGTTTTATCAACTATCATTGGGTATTTAATCAGGCATTTGTTTGGAGCTTTTTCTCGGGTTCTCGTGGTGATGCAAAGCAGGATATATGGGAATTCAGTCTGATTTCTCTATAACTAAGCTTTCATAATAAGACCAACGTAGATGGTTATGATATTTTATAAATCATTGCATTTTATTTTTTTTTGGTTAATATAAACCATTACATTGATCATTACAAATTAAAACTATTCATAGAATGGACTTAACCGCACTTGTTCTTGAAGGCCCAAATACAAGCACACATGTGGTTCCACCTCAAAACTAATTGATGATGAAGGGAGTAGCACATGGGGTATATATGTTGGGTTCAAGTGTTTTCTTCTATCCATGTGGGACAAGGGAACATGAGGCCATTTTCTTTCTTTCATTCATTTAACACGCCCCTCTCAAGCCCAATGGGCTTGGACGGGTAATTTTATATATCTTTTTCTGATTTTTTTCAATCTTGCGATTGGTTATTTTTCCGGATAAACCGTCACTTGCCGGGCCAGTTAAAGTTCAAAGTCAAACCTCGGATTTCTTTCGTGAGTTGACCAAAGTTTCAAGACCCAATCTGGATCAGTCTACCTCGCCCCACAAGTCCCACAGGTCCGCGGATTAAACCCGCTCTGATACCATCTTGAAAGCCCAAATATAAGTCCACATGTGGTTCCGCCTCAAAACAAATTGATGATGAGGGGAGTAGCAAATGGGTAAATATGTTAGGTTTAAGTGTTTCCTTTCATCCATGTGGGACAAGGGAACATGAGGCCGTTTTATTTCTTTCTTTCATTTAACACTTGTCAATACCTTCTTCTACTCAAATATATTTGACCATTTTTCCGATTTAGTTTTTGTTTCACCACTCTGTATATATGGTAGAATCGAATAAAATAGATGAATAAAAAAAACTTTTGGAAGCTCTATTTTTGGACTGTGATATAAGATTCAAAAATTTAATTTCTTTCTCGCTTAGTGTTTCTTCATTAAAAATATTTTTCCCTAAAACAATCAACTTAGGAAACAAGTACAACAGAAAATAGTTCATTTTCTTGATTGTACCTTGTTCATAAAAATTTATACCTGGTAATAAACATAAAAAAATCTTGTCTGCGACATTTAGATGTAATTCAATTTTTTTCTAATGAGAATACTTACATTACTACATATAGATTTGTTTTTTTCTTTTCGAATTTTTTTTTCCATTAATTTCCTTTAATCTGTAATGTAATTTTCTTATTTCAAAACAACGATTCTTAGACTTCTCAGAACAGATAAGAGGTTGAATTAGCTACATTTTCCTTGTTCTTAATTATAAGGACTAGTTAGTACTGAAATTCGTGAGCACATAATCTCCTTCATTCGGGCAGCTTCAAAAATTTTAATGCATAAAAATTTCTTCCACATTGAACTGCTCACCTTTCTTCATGGTTCATTTTGCAGTTCCAGAAGATGTGATCTTCGACTCTGCCGTAAGTGGCCCGTAACCAGCGGCGCCGACGCCCTAATGCCTTAACCAGTAAGACAGCTTGCTCCATAAGATCCTGACTGACCACCTCATGCCTCAACCGGTTACATATCGGTACCTGAATCGGGCGTGGATGGATGTAATGGTCCGGGTCAACAGGCGTAACGGTTGTCATTCAGCAATTCGGTTATGAAGGATTCCTTCCAATCACCACCGTAGTTCACACTCACCTTCCCCAACCATGTGTTTTGATACGCTTGAAATTAGCCAAGACATCGGAATCTTAATCTTCAAGATCACACTAATAGGAGCCCTGCTTTTCTGCGATTATCGAGGAAACGAGAAAGGGCTTTACTTCAATATTGTGTTTGTAAAACTTAATTTTAGATGATTCTCTTTAGTTGGCTCCAAGAAGTCAAAATGATGATTTTCTAGTAGTATGTACCATATTCAGTACAAATAATTAATCTAGTTTTTTCAATCTCTCTCCCTCTTTTTTTTGGTTATGTTTTGCATCTAATGTCTCATATTTCTTTTTAGACAAATTAAGAGTTCTTTTAGATTCCAACGTAAAACGAAAAATCACAGAATATAATGAGAAATTGTCTTTTTGCAATTCATATGCACATTGCCTCCTGAGATGCAGATTCTCCTGAGTGCATGGTAGTTCTTTGTTCAAATAAATCTTCGCTTTATCCCGGTTCAATTTTTCTCCGGTTACTAAGATGGCATGTCAATGGGGGACTAAAAAAGTTTGCTCTCTTCTTCCTGACTAAAGAGCATATTCTCAACAAGTAATCATTGAATTACAGATAAGAGGGAACGAATTTTGGCCACATTAGTTTGCATTCTGACGTGAAAAAAAATAAATGTGGTAGTTTGAACGGATCGTATTGTAGTCATGTATGAAAATAATGTAAACAGCCCTATTTCCTAAGCTTCATTTCTTGTCACACTTAAATGGAACCGGTCCTGACCCAACCCAAAACACGCCTTATTTTATCAATATTTAAATAGTAGAAAAAGGAAATAATTCACATATTTGTTGGAAAAAATGAAAAATTTTGAATTCGAATCGTTCAGAGGATCGCATCACTACACCAAGGGTAACATTAAAAGGACAAAACAAAAAGAGAACTAAACCAAAAATATGTTCATAAGTTTAGTCGTCTGATTCACAAAAAATATTCCTGTGACCAACCAACCGCCCTTATTTACGTAAAAGCGATTATGTGTGCTTCGTATCTCCTTTCTGCTTCCATTCTCCATAACACACTCTTTCATTTTAGCATTATATCAACTCTAAAAAAAAAACTAAAAATGAACCATTTCTCCACTGTGATCAAAACATGGGTCTGAAGTCTGATTCGCAATAAATTTCAAGCCAACAAGTAACTAACCTTAGTAATTATTAGCCCTTTTGTTGGAGGGCTTTTTATCTCCTACCGGTGTCCATTCTTGAGAACACACACTTTGAGTTTGGCATTTAGTAGACATTATCAACGCCCAAGAGCTTTCTTTACAGCTTCTTCCTTCAATTCTTTCTTCTCCCTTTTTCGAAAGGGATTCAAGTAAAAAAGCTTAATAATACGTAGGAGGGAGGGATTGAGTCAAGCTAGGAACCAAATTGTAATAGGTTTCTCCCTAGCACGAAACGAAGGATTCTCGCACCTCAAAGCTTGATACTAAGAAAATTTTACAGGTTTGAATTTTGGATCTCTCTGTTATGTTTTCTTAATTACTTTCAGTTTGATACTTCATGAATTTTTTTTTTTTCCTTACAAACATCTTTTGTTGTTCAGTTCTGGACTCATACACGTGAGATTCTTGCCAAATATGACATGGATCTCGTAAGCTTCCTAGAATTCCTTGCTAAAGGTAACCAAAGTTCTACTTGTATAATACATTATTTTTTTAATTTGTTGTACTTTTAGCCGAGAAATATTAATCATATCTCATTACATTTTGCTAATAATCTCCTTTCCAGTCTAATTCCCTTTCTTTTTTATCCTTCCTTCTTTTTCAGATCTCCTACCTCTCACAGGGGCACAGAGTTCCTTGAATACCCTGGGCTTCCTGTGTTTTCAAATTACACTACAAAAAAATGGGCTTTGGTGACCAGCTAGAATGGCTCTGGTGACCAACTTTTGAGAGCCGATCACTAAAATGAGGTCCCAAGAGAAGTTGGTCACAAAATATCTGTTGGTCACTAAACTTTGTTGGGCAGCTCGGGCAATTGAATTTTTGTGACCACTTAGAGTTGGTCTTTAAAAATAATATATTTTAATGATATAATATTTTAATAATATTTATTTGAATAAAATTAATCTTTTAAAATCCTAAAGTTGGTGACCAAAATTATGATCACAAATCTCAAGCTATTGTTGACCAGCAGACCAACGTCCACATTTATAGCAAAATTACCAGGATTATAAGGCAATAATAAATCTACTATAGAAGAAATAAATTTTCAAATAGCGAGTATAATTAATAAAATCCAAGCGCAATCCAAAACAATTAATCTACGAATCTAGATTATTCAACTACGTACTTAACCTACTAGAGTTCTCTATCACAACTTTCTTTAGCAAACTATGCTAGAAAATTGTTGTATAACTTAAAAGGACAAGCAAGAGCTTCTACTTGGATACCAACAAGCTAGCTAGGGAGGCATTCTTGTGTACATCAAACACACCTACTTTCCAGCTCCTACATCAAGAACATGGAACAAACATAGAGGGTAAGGCAATCTGTATAAATCATCACTTATAGACAACCAATAGCTTGCATATCGTTAAGTGGCACGTTGAGTCCTTAGATGCATGTGTGTTCAAAATTCAAAACCAGAATGTGAAACCAAATTGTATGACACTTGCAACCATTTTAGATTCTTATTATCGGGATGAAGATAACAGTTTTACCTTGATTTTGTTGCAATTCATTTATTGGACAAACTCTTGCAACGTCTCATCAATCTTCATTGATCTCACATTTTCATGGTACCTCCGGATTGTAAGGATTTAAAGGGCACAACTGCATTTCAAGCAGAAAGACAACAAAATCAGTTCTAACTAGACTAGACTGAAGACCTTTGGAAGCCTAGAATGGTACCAAAGGTTTTAAGAAAAGAAGAAAGGCAACATGAATCTATTTGAACAGCCTAGAAACCAATTCGATATAAAGTATAACACTACCTGCTTCATAGGAGAAGTAGATGCATCTAATTGGCATGAAATTCCATTGCTTCCACCTCAGCTGCAACCTGAAAAATGAACCAACTTACTTATAAAGAGATGCATTTAATTCATCAGAGGAAAATTACAGCATGCCCAAGTCACTGCGAACACTAAATGCTATATCAGAAACATGCAACTAACATTCCCTGAAAAACAAAAAGAAAGCAAACGGGCAAGTAACATAAGATGCATACACAAAAGTAAAAGCCAAAGCTATATTTTAAAAGACAATCCATATTGCAGTTTCAAAAGAAAACGGGAAAAAAATTATAAATAATAGCAAGGAGTTCTTAATGCTTTGCTTCACATGTTGAATGTACTTGGCTCATCATAATGCAAGAAACTTATTCTTTAACTCCTAGCTTATGATATGTTGGCAAATTATCTGGTACACCCGGGGGCACCGTGTACCCTCCTGCACGTGTACTTTACTCTCTTAGAATAGCATGAGTTCGCTAGATAATTCATCTTTCTTTTTCTTTTTTTTCTTAGAATAGCGTGATGACTTATCTCGGTGAGGATTCCAGCTTGATGAATGCGGAATGTAGTGGTAGGAAATCCATCGAACAATCTTACTGTGCCAGTATTGACACTGTGGATAACCAGTATGCAGACTATGAATAACTAGTTAAATATAGCTGGATAATCAGTGTGCACACTATGGATAACCAGCTACACACTATGGACAACCAGTGTTCACCATGTGGATAACCAGTGTTGACACTATGGATAATTAGTTATACACAGTTGGATAACCAGTATTGACAATATGGATAATTAGTTATACACAATTGAACATACCTTATTTCCATCATTGGCAAAATGTCCCTCATTCATTTTTGTTCTCTATCATTTGGCCAAATGCCACTCATTCAATTAAATACTATTTATGAAATTTGCCGTGTTCGGTAGGGGAGGCGGCGCAGGCGCGGGCACCGGCGCAGCCGAGTCATTTAGTTTATCACGGGAGGATTTATACAAGTAATTTGTGTCCCCTCTTAACGCAATAACAGACTCTCCTTACACACACAAAAGAAATGATTACCTTAGCTACATAGGCGTGTTCGGCGGGCGATGCAACCGGGGCAGGTTGGTGACCTGCGATTCTAGTAGTCGGGGGAGTCGTTTAGTTTATCATGGGGGGCGAAGCCCCCCAATTAACATGTCGTTTGCTTCTTTACCTCTAGATAACCAGTTTACAACTTGTGGATAACCAGTTTACAGATTCTGGATAACCAGTTTACACCTTCTGGATAACCAGTTTACAACTTGTGGATAACCAGTTTACACCTTTTAGATAACCAGTTTACGCCTTGTGAATAACCAGTTTACACCTTCTGGATAACCAGTTTACCCCTTCTGGATAACCAGTTTACAACTTATGAATAAATTATGGATAACCAGCAATTATGCGTGTTTGTGCGTGAGGATGAAAACAGTAAAATGGATGAAAATAATTTTGTTTGTGCATTTAATGTAAAGGTGAAAAATTTTGTGCGCATGTAACGGGTATGTTTGGAGGAGATATACGGTATAACCGGGTGTACTGAATACGGACTCGATATGTTCGTGAGATTTTTCCCAAATAGCGATAAAAAATGAATCCACACAAGGTTCAAATTACAAGAGTCAAAAATCATTAGTTGCGTCCTATTTATAAATCAGTATCATAAATTGCATCCATAACATTATAGCCAAACATAAACTCTGATTCAGATACTCTAAAGAAGCAGAACATTGACCATTCAACCTGAAAAAGAGTTTCCCTGTAAATTCCATAATAATTCCAAGGTTTAGACATAATTGCAAATATGTAGATAGTGTGATTAGCATAAGAATCAAAGTTGCAAATTTGTAGCTTTGATAAACTCATTAACAGTCAACTGTTCCCTTTACAAACTGAATCCTAATGAAGTTGAAGTCAGAAAATGGTTTAGTA